TACTTCCTTTCATTTTTCTACCTTCACTGCTTTATATAGTTCATTGCTTTATTTGAAATAATCTTTGATTGAGTTGTTATCACCTTCTCCTTTGAAGCTCATGTTATGACCACTAGCATCTAGTATGTAATAGAGATTCAGCAACTGCTGGGAAATTGATTAATCAAAGGACTTTGAACATCTAAACATGGATGTTGATGAAGATATAGATAGTCAAAACAAATTGCCCTCCAAATTTGGGGTAATTAGTACTACTATGTGCAAATAACAGTATTGTGCCTTATCATAGCATATTTTAGAAAACTAAAATATAAAATATATTAAGCTAGGACAGAAGTTATAGAGCTACTCAAAAATGTTGAGCAACTAGCTGAACACCCTAAAGTCATTAACACTAAAGTTACTCTTACAAAACTATCTTAATCTCATGCAAACATAAAAATGCTATACAGGAAAAAAAAAGCTAAGGAAAAAAAAAGATTTGCTTCTCAAATAGACCTCTCTGAAAATAGTTAGCTATATATAAGCAGCTATGAATTCTATGCATTATTTCCACATTTAAAATAAGGATTTCTTAAGAAAAGGGATAAGAATTGAACATCTATTTGAATGGTTAGAGTCTTATACTGGGTATTTTTAATTCACTGTATCTAAGATCACAACACTGGAGGGATGTACTCACATAAATCACTAGAATTCCTTTTTAATTCTTACTCTTATAAGCTGAAAGATGACATTTTTGCAAAACATGACACATTAGTAAATAACATTTAATTAATTTGATAATTCTTTGATTAAGCTTTAATTTTTCTTGATTCTCATGCAGCAATTCAAATTATTCTGTATTATTTGTTCTTTTTCACACGTTTAGGGCAGGCTTTGAATAGTCCCAGTAGGTTACCTGAGAAGGAATTTATTCTTGTCTGACAGCAGGTCTATGCCATTAATAGTGACAAGGCTAGACCAAAAAGACACTTTAATAAATGTTCCCTCACAGAAAAGACGTTTCTGTAGAAACTGGTGCCTCTCTCAGAAGTCTAGGAGAAAAAATTCTGAGCAAGTGAGAAAAATGAAACCTTAGGCCTTCTTTCTGTTTCCTTTAGACATAGAGAAAATGAAGCCATATGAACAATGTATTAAAAGAAGAGAATACTTATTTACTAGCTTTTGCCCCAAACCTAAAAGTGTTTTATCCTAAGGAAGCTAAAAGTGTGGGAGAAGAAGCATCAATGGAATTGAATCTGCTTGGAAGTACTTGCATCTATTTCTATATGCATCCCAGCTAATCAGAGTGACTAGAATGTTTCATGGATTGATTCAGACAAGCATGACAATTTGATACATTTACCTCAAACAGTTTCCACAGCTTTCCAGTAATCAGAAGGTAACTCTCCCCAGGGTTATGGCAAGTCCAGGGACTAGGCACTCCCATCATTAAACATAGACTTTCATTTTTTTTTCTGTTTAGCCTAATTATGTATACTGTCTGCAGTTTACTGATGCTTGCATCAAGCTCAGCTTTGCTAATTCCAAGCTTCTGTCTCCCGAGATACTATCAGTAACTCTTTAAGAAATCTTTACAGAGGCCTATTTGCAATACTTAGAAACCTGTCATCTTTTAAAATAACAAGATTATTTCTACGAATGAATAAAGAGGTCTACTCTGGGATAAACACCATTTTTTTCATTGAGATAAATATTGTACATCACGAATTCATCTCAACACACATACCATGTTTCTGGCAAGGTATAAAAGTATAAGGCAGTGGGGATTTAAAGGCAAATGTTTGTTGATGGTGTATATAAGGCAGTAAAAACAAACAAACAAACAAAAATTTGCTCTGCAGGGAATCATAATAATGTTTGATAATTGAATCAGAAACTTAAAAAAGTAGTGGGTAGAGAAACACCAATTTTGCTATATGTGGGAATCATCATCCCCAATGAGACACTTAAATAGTGTTTGTTATGATTATGATAGCTCAATGTGTTCCAAGTGTATATGCATGTGCATAAGTTTAACCATGTCTTATTTCTATAAAGTAATGTCTATTATTCCATTTTATAGATGAGGGAACAGGCTCAGGAAAGTTGAGTAACGTGCCTATATTTATTTAATTTTTTTCTTAAATAGTTAACTCATTTTATGGCAAGAGTCATTCTACTTAATTCTTTCCTCTCCTACCTTACGGCTCCAACAATTTTTCATTTGCTTTTCAGAAGTCTTTCTGAAATTCATTCTGTAAATGTTGTGTCACCCATTTTTGTTATTACATGGCTAAATCAGAGATTCTGGGCTTTAGTTTACTATAGATTAAGAAGAAAGTCCATGTTCCAGACTTCAGCAAATTCTGAGAAATAGGTCAAAATTTCCATTACTGAATTCAAAGGGAATTCCATCAAATACATAAAGTGACCTAAATTGCAATAAATGAAATGGGTACAAGAATGTTTTCTGAAAGATTTCACTTTTAGATAAATGTTGTATATCTGTCTAAACTTCTAGTATCTTGGGTTCTCTTGGTACTATAATTTCTCTTTTTTACCATTGTTAAGGGATATTATTCACAATAGATTCATTGGAAATTTTCTCACAAATTGGAGAACTAGAACATTTCCTACATGAAAATTGCAAATCTGAATAGCATTACATTGTGTGTGTGTATATATATACACACACATATATATCACACTCTTAAAACTCCATTCATCTATTGATGTACAGAACTACAGATATACAGGAGAATTATGTTGCTGCTGTTCTATTGCAATGGTAAAGAAATTTATATTTAAAAAAATCTAGAAGAAAATATTTTAATATTTTCACCATAAAAAAGACAAATATCTGAAGACAGAATGAAAAGCCTGATTTGAACATTTCATAATATATACATGTATTGAAGTATCATAGCACCCCACAAATAAGTACAATTTTATATGTTAATTGAAATATATATGCATAAAAATAAAATACATTTTGCAATAGTAGGCATGAAATTCATCTTGCATGTATTGCCATTTAGCTAATCATTTTGATTTAACTATGTTAAGACATGTTTTTATTGTAACCCCCCTGTCCCTTAACTACAAAGAGTTTATATTGTTAACGTTACTTGAGGCCCTCAGTATATTATTCTGTATCACAGATTCACACTTCCAGCTTATGTAAACCTAACAATACATTTTATTATTATAATCTTTCATAGGACCAATTACATAGGCATATTAAATACAGACGCATAACTACAACTGTAGGTATTAATCATATTCTATTCCTTCTCTTTTAATAATAATAACAACAATAACTATTTTTTTTTCTGACTGTACACTGTTGACTATAGATAAGCTCTGCTTAAATTTGGTCTGGGCTTCATGAGGGTAAGCACCAGGCATATTTTGTTTACTGCTACATCCTCAAAATCTATCATAGTTCCTAGAACCTAGAGAACACTGAACCAAACTTGTTTTATGTGTGTACTACAGAATATCTTAACACAATCTTCAATATAACACTATAAAATATTTAATAAGATTATCCATATGATATAGACAGTAGAAGCAAGGCAAACAGATGTGCAATGGCTAATATAGAGGAAAATGTTTGTTTTATCTTTATCAAAACTCTTCTGTTACAATAGAGATAGGGCACAGCTATGTATTCACCCATGAAGAGGAGCCAATACAGAGAGGGCCACACACTTCAAATGTACTTTGATTATCTACTCTTTGACTCCACAACCCTACCACTACCAGCCTAATGGTACAAAGGAGGAAGGGACTCAATGAGGTTGACCAACATGACAAAGTCACATTCCACCAAGTAGCATGGACTAGGTTTGAGTCCATGCAGTTTTTCTTTGGAGTTTGTTCTGACTCCTATATATTTTCTGCATTAGAGGAGTGTCTCTGAAGAATAAAAATGAACTAAAAATCAAATAACATCAAAAGTCATCTAATGAAGGAAAATAAAATGTTAACCTCATTTAGGTTATGAACACATACAATTCTAGCTCTTACTGTGCTGCTTTGGGAGGTGAGTCCTGCCTAAGTCATTGTTGATTTTCATTTAGTTGAGACCTCAATGACATTTCACAACTTACTTGAATCTCAATTTGGAGATAGTTTGTAGCATTGGGGGTTGAAACATCCATTTCATAAGTCACCTAATCACAGTTCCCATGACCACTCCAGGAATAATGACTTTCTCAAATTTGTCCTTCATTTCTTAAAAATTATGTTTACATATGCCAAAATTAGCAATATTCCACAAATTTTCTCTCATCATCAGTCCCTTAAGTAGAGTTCTGCCTGATCATATATTATGAAATTATGCTTTCTTATTATCCTTCTTGTACTTAAATCCGTCAATGACTTTGCCAAATATCAATTCTATTGGGCTGACCAAGTGTCCTATAATGTGACATTAAAAGCATTTCGTTTCTTATTTCCTGATGCTTTTCAATCTTAGTTCATCCTGTCTTATAAATACATCAATTTCACATGCACTGCCATGTTCCAATTCATTTCCTCTTTCATATACAAATAAAGCAAGCTCTATGTATTCCTTAGCACTTAGTCAAATACCATTCCTCCTTCTGACTCTGTGGATCCCCTTTCCTTAATAGCAGGAATCACTGATGTCTCTCATCTGAAACTTGTAACATTTATAGTTTGTACTATGCAACCTATTCCCCAAATTTATCTTTTTCTTTTATCTATTAGTTATTTTTCTCTTTCTAATATACTTGTTAAAGTTGGAAATTATATTTTAATATTTGTATATCCTTTAGTGTGCTTGGCTTAGACTGCTAAACATGTAGAAATTATTCAAAATTTGTACTCTGACTTATTTTAGTTCCTCTCTGGATACTCTACATCTCTTTCTATATCCTCTTCCCAAAACACCACACTTGATTAACTAACTGCTTACTACATAGTTTTATTTGAGAATTAATGAAGTAAATCCTGTGAAAATAACTATAATGACCCTTGTTATTTAGCAGGTGCTAAACAACTGATGTTTGGATGGGAATCTTCACATGTTCACCTTTTGCAACTGGGTACCATATGTGGCTTTCAGGATGGATGGTAAGTTCAAAGTTGCCTTCTTCAGCCCTGTTTACTTCAGTAAGCTGGGACCCCAGTCCTCCCAAGACCACCTACTTAGACAATTCATTAGCTTTATCATTCCAAAGAACTCTGAATAATTTGACATTCCCCTTCTTTGGTATAAATCCCATGATTCTACGTGCATTACAATTCCAAAATCATGTTAATTTTCTCTATCTACTGTTCTAAAATCAAGCTTTGTCTCACTCCTTAGGACTCTTTCTAATTCTATTCTCTTCTAATCATCTTGTGCAATTCCAATTTTGTTTCTCTTTTTAGATTCCTTGAGTACCAAGTAAAGGGAACTAGCAGATCCTCATCTATATCTGGAAAACAGATAGATTTGGTATTAATCCTAAGGATTTACAAACTCATAAGCCTCAGTTTGAATTATCTGTCTGCAACTTTGTGAGACCTTTACAAATAACATAAACTGGTTGTCTTGCAATTCTTTCCTTTATAAGAAAAGGATTATAATATACACTTACTAAGTCTTTATTAGGAAAATACAAAATATTTCAAGAGTCTAGCAGAGATAATGACAAAAGAACAATTCAAGATTTCATGATTCTGAGCCTTAAATATCCCTTTAGTCTTGATGTCTGTATCCTCAATTCCATATAGCCAGACTTAACAAATGTCTCAAGCCCATTTCAATTTTTATATATTCCATAGATCTAAGAAATAAATTTTAATAAATGACTCAAGATACAAATTTGGTAAAGTTGAGGTTTCAAAAAACAAACAGGCAAATGATTAATATCCAGCCTGAGTGACACACCAAATTTATATTTTCTCCATTGTTTCTTAGTGTGCTATTGAGGTCCATTATAGTAATATGAGGGTTTTGTTTAGTTTTTAATTTATTAGCTATCCTAAGAAGTTTGTAAAGAAAAATATTGATTGACTTATTAATATATAGAAATTTTAAGTAACAAAAAGAAAATTTAATTTTAAATAGAATAAAAATGTTTTCTCCATTGCAATTACTATGTAGCAACATTGAACAATTTTAAAAATTGAAGGCACACTTTGCAATCTTCACAATCATATTTTTCTTACATATTGAACATTTTTCATTTCATTAACTTAGAAATTATCTTGTCAATTATTTTAAACAATACATTTTTTAAATTTAGTTGTGGTGTTAAGTCTATTTAATAATAATTATTAACATATTTCCATATTATCTTCTTTGTGTGACATATTTAAATCTGTGTTATGTTATCTGAAAAGCAGTGGAGTTTTATACTCCTTGTTAAAGATTCCTGTAGAAAATTCTCTGCTGAACCTAAACCTCAAGTCCTTTTTTCTCCTCTGAGGTAAACTCAGAAACTAGAAGTTTCCTTTTTAATTGGCTCTTTGGCTCTCTCACCTGACTGTGTTTAGTAGTTTGTATCATTATTTAGGAAGATATAATAGAAGCTGAGGGACACCATTTTACTAGCCTAATTTTAATTTCATTGAACAGTTGAAGATTCAGAATATTCCTTTTTCACACATTACTGCAGAGAAAAAAGTGACAGAAAAAGATACCTCAAAATTATTAAATAAATCAAAAGATGAATTCAAAAAGATAGCAACAGGCTAGATTCTAATGATCAGGCTGAAATTAAAATTGATTCTACAAGTGAGATGTCTTCAGATGACAATGAATTTTCTCAGATTTTAAAATCAATGAATGAGTGAACAATACATTTCAAAGAAAAACATATTATTCTCAGTTACTTAGGCTTTCAGCATGGCAAGAACCTAAGGCATGCTATTTTACTAAAAGATCGTGTTGTAGCATCCTTTTCATCTAAAGATCTATGTGCTCAACGCTGTGGTTTTATGGACACAAAGGCTTAGACATATTGGCAAGAATCAGAAGGAAATAGACAATGTGTGGATGAGAAAACTGATTGAATTTTTTATTCTAGTTCATGTTCACAAACATAAAAATGAAAAATTTTTGCTATTATGGAATGAAGACGAAAACATTTTCTTTTCAAATGAAGTATCTATCATCACAGATTTCAATAAATCAACTGTTGCATTTAATGATCCATGTTCTAATACCATGCTGGAACCTATTAAATATGTGTTTCAAATCTGGAATTGGTTCAATGCAGACTCAGGAATGAGAGCTGCTGAGCAGTGAGTCCCTTTCTGAAGATGTTTCCTACTTAGAGTATACATATCTTTAAAATTGGGAATGTATAAAATAAGCACTTAATTTTTGTGTAAATTGTCATCAAAATATTCACTGTCCACATATTCTAAGATAATTTAATTCTTTTTTTTAAATAATTAAGCTATCCAGGTGGTGAGTTGAAATCACTGTTTCTGGTGTACTAAGAGTAGTGTTTATATTTTCAGGGTCTCTATTGCACACTTACTGAGTTATTATTAGTTATACAGTTATTCAAGTCATGTCTTGTCTCTTGACTATCAGCTGGCTGAGGGAATTCAAAAAATACTTACTGATTAAACATTGTAACTCCCAAAGCTTTTGTTGTGTAAAATAATTAGATGTTTGGAATTAAAATGAGCATATTTTTTGGAAGGTTGCCTACCTTGGAGCAGGATTTTTGGGGAAAGTATAAAGAAAGGATGAATTTTACCTAGTCTTCTTTAATACAGCAAGTGAAATATATCAGATTAAACCATTAAATAACAGTGACTATACTGCTATTACATTTGACCTCTTCTCTGAAAGATTAAACCAAAAATATAGTAAAGTACCACTGAAGTTTAAGAAAAGGATCTTAATAAAGTGAGAGTACTAACTTAACTACTTGAGGATTTTCTAGCTATGGACTTGAAACCCACTGAATTGAAATACAGGCTGCCAAAGAATGCCCTATTATAGTCAGAGAAGATTTTGGTAGGTGAGTACCCTCAATTTTAGGAAAGTAAACAACACAGAAAGTAAAATAAATTACCTTGACATAAATTCTTGGCTCAAGTAAAAATCAGACAATTTCTGGGATTGTAATGGTGGGATAATTCCTAAGAAATGAACTTTAACTTATATTAAACTTTAATCCTTCTAGCTATGGAGATGAAAGCTAAAAAGAAAAAAAAAGCTTTAAAATTCTAACCAAAAGCACACTTGCCCTAGTCCTTGTACTGATATTTAAATTGTTTTCTTCATCTACAGGGAATATAAAGAGGTCTGTGAGCCACGTGATTTCTTACTTTTAGAAATTCATCTCTTTAACTTGGATGATTCTGTTCAGAAATCCATTCAATTCATTAAGCCCAAGTAGAAATTGATGAAGAAGGAATATGAAACTGACAAGATCATGATGTTTCCTTAAGAGTTTAAACTAGTGGTACAAGTGTTGCTTGAGAATAATTTGCTTAGCCATGAAATATTGAAGAGGAAATTGGAATTATTAGGAAGGTCATATATAAATAAATCTAAAAGAATTTTACCTTGAACATCTCTACTATTGATTTTTAGAGAAAACAAAGCAAGCATCATGAATTGATTTGCAGTGTTGCAAATGATGTCTGTATTGACCAGTTTTAGTAGTTCTCTCATAAGAAAATAACAAGAAGATAGTCTTAATATTTAGAGGGAAAGTGACAGTTATTACCTTCAAGACAGACACCACAGGAACAGGATCTCTCTCTCTCTCTCTCTCTCTCTCTCTCTCTCTCTCTCTCTCTTTCTTTCTCCTGCCCCCTCCTCTTCCTTCCCTCCCTCCCCTCGAACAGCTATTCGAATATGTAACACTGACAATCTACAGAATCAAGGGATCTCATGGTGAGGTTGTTCTGATATTAAAGGGAAGATAAAGAAATTTTTTTTCGGCAGGGGGGAATCTTCAGTGTTCATCATATCTTTAAAAAAAAAAGTAGATATATGTCTATTCCAGCTGCTCATATGACCAGCCTTGATAGTATATGTTCACTTTCTAGATTTAAACAGACTTTATTCTTATTGCTCCAACTTAATATAAAGTGAGTCAGTAGAGGAGAAATTGAGATAGGGCAAATGATCTGATCCTACAGTTTACACTGGCATATTGTGATGGTATCTAAACTGAAGTAAGAATTATCTCCAATCAAAGTATATTGCACATTCACTATTCACTGTGGGGAGCCAGAGCACTTCAATTAATATAATGTACATGTTAACTAAAACTTTTAAGGATACCTTAGGAGTATTTTATTTCTTGGTACATAAAGTGAAACTAGGGACTTGATGTCACAGTATCAGCACCTGCACATGGCATCAACAAGGTTTTCCACTGTGAACTACAGTTTGGGCTCCGTTTGAGGGTGTGACAATATTCTCCAAGAGAATTACTGAATCCCAGAGGGAAAAGTCAAATTATAGTTTAAAAAACTCATTACCAATAATTAATAATGAACTCCAGCTAAACAATAACAGGTGTTCCACTAATCCCAAACAGAAACAGATGGAAGCACAAATGTTTTATAAATAGTGGATACATGCAGAGAAATAAACTTGGCAGGAATTATTTTATTCCTTAATTGTCAGTCAGAGTCAATGTCTTATCACATGTTTTCTCTAAATTAATATGCCCAGATTAAATCTGTGTTTCTCACTCCTTAGTTTTAAAACATTAGTACTTTATCATTCCATATTACATATTGCATCACTAACAAAGATAGTATTTTTAAACTTTCCTTTGGTACATTTACCAATAGTATGTAGTTTATTATACTTTATTTCTCCTTTCCCCTTCCTCCATCTTAGTGCTTGAACAAAAATTACTGGACTAAATATTCTTTTACTTCTTAAACCTTCAAAATAATGAATGTAAGTAGATGAGATACATTAGGGCAGTCAGAAAGTCAAGTAAATAGATGGTATTAAGAGATTTAATCCTATAAGAAAGAGGAATTATTTTTAGGACTTAGAGTATTATGTAGTGCTATAGATTTTGATCCTCTTGTGAATAAAACCTCAGGCCTTGTGCATGCTAGGCAAGTGCTATGCCACTGTGCTCTATCCTCAGCCCTGAATCTGATATATATATATATATATATATATATATATATATATATATATTGGAGGTTCACATAAACCTTAAGAAGAGCTCTCTCTGTGTGGTCATTAGCAAAATCTTCTTTACCTCATGCAGAGATGGTTTTATTATTCCTTCTGACCTTCAGCTTTTGTGAGGTATTCAGAAAGAATCCATTGGTATTGTAACTGTTGTACTGCCCCTGTCGCTTACTAACTTCCACAATGCAGGGTTCAGTGTGCTATGATTTGCTTAGATCAACATATTGTAGCTACTATAAACAATTTTTATGGCACAAATATTAATTTTAGTCAAATAATAAAACTTAAAAATAAAACATAAAGAAAACAATATATGTTAGTCATTTCTTAATTCCTACTTATCAAAAATACAGATTCATCTTATGTATAAGTCAATATTTGGTCCATCTTATAAAAGCAGAAATATCTGTGGAGTGTGACTTCCTTGAAATACCACCTCTGAACAAAATGGGCTGTGAATCTTTTACCTAAAGTGAATTTATGGTGCATATTGCCTGGGATGGTGCATATGGCCTGGGATCGTTCTTGCAGAGTGCTCACCCTGACATACTGTGGGGAAAAGAATCTCACTCCAGTTAGATTGGCAGCCATTATGAAGTCAAACAACAACAAGTGCTGGCGAGGATGTGGGGAAAAGGGTACATTTGTACATTGCTGGTGGGATTGCAAATTGGTGCAGCCAATTTGGAAAGCAGTATGGAGATTTCTTGGAAAGCTGGGAATGGAGCCACCATTTGACCCAGCTATTCCCCTTCTCGGTCTATTCCCTAAAGACCTAAAAAGAGCATGCTACAGGGACACTGCTACATTGATGTTCATAGCAGCACAATTCACAATAGCAAGACTGTGGAGCCAACCTAGATGCCCTTCAAAAGATGAATGGATAAAAAAAAATGTGGCATTTATACACAATGGAGTATTGCTCTGCATTAAAAAATGACAAAATCATAGAATTTACAGGGAAATGGATGGCATTAGAGCAGATTATGCTAAGTGAAGCTAGCCAATCCCTAAAAAACAAATGCCAAATGTCTTCTTTGATATAAGGAGAGTAACTAAGAACAGAGTAGGGTCGAAGAGCTTGAGAAGAAGATTAACATTAAACAGGGATGAGAGGTGGGAGGGAAAGGGAGAGAGAAGGGAAATTGCATGGAAATGGAAGGAGACCCTCAGAGTTATACAAAAGTACATACAAGAGGAAGTGAGGGGAAAGGGAAAAATAATACAAGGGGGACAAATGAATGTCAGTAGAGGGGGCAGAGAGAGAAGAGGGGAGGGGAGGGGAGGGGAGGGGGGATAGTAGAGGATAGGAAAGGCAGCAGAACACAACAGACACTAGTATGGCAATATGTAAATCAATGGATGTGTAACTGATGTGATTCTGCAATCTGTATATGGGGTAAAAATGGGAGCTCATAACCCACTTGAATCAAAGTGTGAAATATGATATATCAAGAACTATGTAATGTTTTGAACAACCAACAATAAAAAATTAAAAAAAAAAGATGAAAACAATTTGCTATGAATCGACTAGGTGCCTTGTCAACAATGCAAGGTTGTAACTGTGATCTTCATTTTAAATGTAAGCAACTTGAAGATGAGGTACTCAGTGATTTTCCTCAAGGTCCCATGACAGAAAAGACTGGAGTCAAGCACTGCACTTGTATGCCTCACATTCCCCTGAATCACCCTCCCTTCCTCAGTGCTTCCACTTAATTTTACTTTGCTATTATACCATACCCAACTGATGACCATAATCAACTTCACCAAGTAAGATACCATCATTCTCAGGTTTATACCCTTCATTTCAGTTTTTAAACACATTAAAAATGTAGAAAAAAAATGAAGGAGGAAGTAAAAGAGGAAGAGGAGGAGGAAGAGAAGGAAACCATCTGACAGAATAAGTTGTTCTGCTACTTTAGTTGTCCAGAGAAATAAGAGTCGTAGGATTTTCTTAATTCCTAGGGCCTATATGTATTATACATTTTTTTCAGATATGACATACCTGTTTTCAACATATGCCCAAGTTATAATTATACATTTTAGAAAGATTTTCTCATAAACACGCAAGGACACAAAATGTGTTTGCTTTAAACAAACAGCTTCAGTTATTTTAATATAAATTATCTCCTTCTTTAACAATATCTTCTTAGAAATGTTTTCCCGAATATGAACATGTTTCACCAGTTTTTATTTCTGCAAAAACCATAGTGCAAGCAATAAGTTGCTTATTTTTAATTATGGTATTAGTAAAGAATACCTCATTAAACTCTGGGCAAGAATTAAAGGTATGAGAGATTAATGTACATTGCTTTAACTAAAAGTTTTCTCCATTATGTTGACTATTAACTCCAGACTTGACTATCTCCATTAAAATTTTTATGGAATGGCCAAAGTTCATATGTGGGGAGAAAATCTCAAGTTTGTTTTAGGGGATTTCATATTTGAACTGTGATGCATTTTAATATGAATTCTGTTCATTTCTAGGAAAAGAATGTTCACTTCTAAGAAAAGAATGATATTTTCATTGTCATACATTTTTTCTTCTGTTTACAAGGAATTTTAAAAAGATAATTCATCGCTTCACTCCAAGATATTATTAAAGATATTAGCATACTTCAATATGAAGATATTAGCATGTTTTTAGCTTTCAGCTGACTATATTTGCAATAGGCCATGCAGTGATTGAAAGTAAAATTAAAGGCCCTAATGCCACTTATTACTTTTGCTTTTTATTGGCTTTATTCTAGATCTACACATGCATTATGCATTTTTTAAAAAGGAAAATACAGTTTAGTACATTAAAAAGCCAAAAATCTTAGAAACAAAGACTATTAAAACAGACAAGCACAAGAATTGTTTGGAATACCTGGTTTTAAGTCCCCATGGACAAACATGTCAATCATATATCGACAGAATGCATACTGATCTGACAGAGTAGAAAGAAAAAAAATGAGAAAATGTCATCAAAATCCTTCTTTTTTCAATGGAGAAATGGTTTAACAAAACAAAATAGCACAATTCAATTTTGGTTACTACATATTTTCTGCAAAGAAATAATTTGTATTCATGGACATGCAGGAGGGAAAAGGCATAATGAACATAATGCTCCATTTAGTCATACAAAAAAATACCTTAAATTTTGAAACAGAGATAATATTATAGTGGTTGTTTTTAAAAATGAAAGCCTTTTTCATCAAATTTGCTACAAAGTCATCACATTAAAGCACTCATTCTCATTTGTCCTTTTGTAGACTTAGGATGATGAAGCAGAAATTTTACAAAAGAAAATTGGTTCCAATTTGGAATGTTTTACCAAATATTCTCTCCCAGATCCTAAATGAAGCTGCAGAATATTTTGTCAAAAGGCCTGCAGTAGGGCGAACCCCTTTGAAACTACTTTCCATGACAATGTTCTTTAATTAGAAGAAATCAAGAACAGACTAACAGTGCCAAATGATACCACTGTTAAGATAATTAATTGAGTAATTTTCATAAGACCATTTTATGATCTTGACTAGTCTATGACCTATGGAAAAAAGGATCAAAAGACAGTAAGTGGTGAACATTTGGGACAAACATCTTAAATAATTTCAAGAGTGTTTTTTTTTTCTTTTCTCTCTAAACTATTTCATATTTTCACACAACTTTAAATTCTCCTAAGGTCATTCCAAGTTTCCATTGATGAAGATTCTCATTAGAATCTGTAAGTTTTACCAGAGATTCTCTAAATCTTGAATATTATGAAATGAATCTTCTATGCAATGATTTACATTTTAGTTTTCTTAGAATAGAGATCTTATTAATTGACCAAATCCAAAGGCAGCTTTGGGACCAAGTAAGTTTATTGGCTTTATACAACATGACATATTTTTAATTGTTTCACATTATGCGTATCAAACATGAAACAACAAAATTTGTTATTCTATTAATATACATTGAAGGATTTTTTAAAACTTCAATCTTTAGAGTGTTAATATTTTTAATGAGTTTTATTATGAAACTCTCCCAGGTCTTTCAAAACGTAAATGCTATGTGGTAGATCTAAAATACAATCGTGTTCATTAATACCTAAATATGTTAAGCCAAAACTCATATAATTTCAAAATGTTGTATGTATTTTTATTGTTGAAATGAGAGCACATTTTCCCACAGGAGACTCAGGAGTGGGAAAAAGGCTAATTCTCAGATCAGTCCATGAATCTATCTACTCTTTGATGAAGCTGCAGTAACAAAAATTTCAGATGCCAGGACCTGGGAACCTCATATGGAAAAAAAAAAAAAAAAAAAAAAAAAAGTAAGGTTGAAGCAGATGGTAGCTTCTCTTTTCTGAACACAAGATTTTCTTGCTGAATGGGTAAGTCTGCACTAAGACAAGACCAAAAAAAAAAAATGCATTTTCCTTTAATGGAAAATTAGAATTAGTTAAATGTGACATTGTCAGTCTTTCCCTTTTGTTTCACTATCTGAAGTGATTATGCCTTTAGATTTCTTTTAGAAGTAGTTCTCTGTTGGCAGTTTACTCATCAAAAAGACAAGGGAATTTCTTGTGGGACACATCATTTCAAAACTTGTGCTGTGGGTCTGGACCCTAGGATGATGCATTTTTATCAAACTCCCCTGATGCGTCTAATCAGATAGATCATATATGCAGAATCCCCAATCTAAAACCATTCAATTGTGTTTTTACTCAGTGATCATTAATGACACTACAGCCTCCTAGGACAGCAAAAGAGACTTTTTGTTAGAATGTAGTCTGAAGTTTAGAATGTAGGGACTATTTGTAATTTGAAGGATTTGTATGATGCTCCAAAATGAAATATTGTTCTCTGTCCCAAGGGATGATGGGCTAGCTATACACATAAAATGTTGAACAGTGTACTGAATTAATAAAACCACAGTTCAAAGTTTCCTCATCAATTTAATATTGAGAGTATATCAAAACTTTTTAACCTGGTATGAATATTACCAAAGTGCTATGTTTATTTTTTATCATACCAATAATGTGTGGTTCCAAAGATCATTCTTTTAATTAATGCATCAATAGTTCAATGAGTTTCTAATTTGAAAAGAAAATTCTCTATTAGTTCAAGGAACTTTCTTTTTCATCTAGAAAATTATTTGAATAATAACATTTAAAACGTTTTAGTTCTTTATAAGCAAGGCTGTGATCTTATATTCTAATGGCATCACTATTTTTAAAATATTTTACATTAAGAATTTTGTAATATTTTGTATATTTCTCTCTGTCCTCAGATCAAGATATATAACAATTCTTTGAAGGTATGTATTAGGCAGTTCTAAGTATGTCTGTTTCACCTGCCTTAGGACAGAGCAAAAGAAAATTCCTAATTCTAAAAGATTCATTTTACAGAAATGTTTCTTTAAACCCAAGTCAAACTATGTAGCAGGAATTTTTTCCTAAAGAAAAATCTGAGTTGTCTTGTCATTGTAACTCTCATAGTTATGGGATAATAATTTACATAAGTTAACTTCATATTTGGTCACCACTTCAAAGTAATTTTTCTCAAATAGCATCCTTCTAGGAATAATCCATGCTGTCCGTCTCTCCCCTTTGCGGTCCTCAGGGAGCAATGATGGACGTCATTCAGCTGCTGCTGCCTTGTCAGTGTTCCCTGTGGAGTGGCAGCTGAGGGAAAATGAATTCTGGGTGCAAAATGTCATCAGAAGGGATTCTTAAAAATAATCTTTAATGAGGATGGGGTACGTGCAGTCCAGTGTTCTATGGCAGATTCTCATTAGCTCTACTTTCTCTGACTGCTACAGATATTTAAATAATTGTTGGAAAAGAAAGAAAAAAAATAAGCAAAATACATAGGATCTGGGAGATTGTTTTGTTTCTTTTTTTTCGCTTCCCCACAGACTCACCAGAGACTAAGAAGCAATATGCCATTTTGGCAACACTTCTTACCACCCAATAAATTGATTTAAATTGGTCCATAAAAACTGAATTATGAAATATAAAAGTTGTGTTTCAGTTTCTAGTAGCCATGTACATACATATGAATCTTATTCTCAGTGCTTTAAGTATAAATGCATTGTTTATGTATGAAATATTAAAAGTAACCACATTTAATATATTTACGTATATACTATGTAATCAAATAATTTCCAATAATTTTGTGTCCTGTGTAGGTTTCCAAGTAGTAAAAGATCTGCAAAAACAATTTATTTAAAAGGAACTATTTAGATATCTTAATGAAAAGAATATCTTAAATTCATTACATCTAACTTAAGCTAAGCAAATAAATATTTTCTTGACCAAAGAAGAACTAGTTTAATTTTACTGTCAACAATACAATAACTTCAAAATAAAAATAAACTCATGCATTTGTATTTTAAACAACAACTTTACCTTATTTAATTAAAACTATTATGTGATTAGGTTTTTAAATAAACAAATGCTCTTAAGTCTTAAGTGTAGAAATAAAAGTTAACATATTTATGTGTCTGACCAACCATTATAGGTTAAATTTTGATTACTTACCTAATACTACCTTTATTTAATTAATGATAGCTATTCTCAATAGGAAATTTAGCAAATGCATTTGTTTAGCTGAAGAAATCTTATTTGTGTACTTGTGTCTACCTCTGTGTGATATTTGAGCATCCTTTTAAAAGATAAATAGCTCTTAATGTAGAAATGAAAAGAGCAAAATGAAAATGGAATAATAATATAATGTTATCTTAAATAAATCTGTTCCTGATAGGAATAAAATATAGTATTTGTAACTTGAAAATAAATATTATTTGAAATGTCCTAGTGTTATGTCCTTATCAGTAAAATATAGTCTCAAAGCCACCAAAGATACTAAAAATGACCATCCCAAAACATGTTCATATTCCTACTTACTGGATAAGTATTTTGACATTCCTAAAAATAACTGGCATACATCTTTATAAACTTAAGATAAACTTGCATGTTTTAACTAGTTTCATGTTGGAAAAGGATGATCTAAAATGCAAAATATTTTAAGATATAAATAAACATATTAGTGAATCAGAAGATTAACTTTTTGTATTCTATCATAATACAATATCCCATTAAAATATTTTTCTTCATTTATTACATTTATTTTCTATCCCAAATATTGCATAAATGAAATAATTTAAAAAGAGATGATAACTAATATTTTTAATTTTTCAGGGTAATATAATCATCTTAAAAATGAAAGAAAGATTTAAGGTTCCAAAGTTTTAATTAAATCCTATATTAAAATATTACTTCAAAATAAGTGAAAATTTCTTAAAGTTTTTTGATCACAAAAAGAAAAAAAGATCTTTCTTCCTTCTTCTTTTTTAAAATATATATTTTAAAATATGTACCTTTCATCCTATAAATCAAAGTTTACAAATATTACTTTTACACTGAAGTTTACCAATATTGTCAATTTGGGGAAGATAAAATTACAAAAGTAGATAAAATACAAAAGTATACTGCATATTTCAGATCATGTTAACTATAATGAGGAAAATTATTGTCATTTTTCTGTCCGAAAGCTTAATCAGAAATTAGATGTTAAGATTTTTTAAAAAACATAAAAGTCTCAGAGTATCCAATTCCTTGATTTTAACTCTCACATGAAATTATTCAATTGCTACCAGAGTAAAAGAAAATTTTATTTTGCACCCTCTGTAGGACACATCCTTTACAGAAATAGGTTAGGTCCCACATTCTAGTCATGGAGTCTCAGAGTGTGTAGTGACCTTGACCTAAGAATGGACTTAGAGAAGGAAAGATTCAACAAAGCCCAAAGGCCCTTAGTAGCCCTCTAAACACTTCACCCACCGCTTTATGTTTACTTAGAACCCTTCCATAAAGAACTTCAGTTGTCTTTTCCACCTCCATTTAAATGCTATACCATTTCTGAAGTGAGGGTATAAGTTTGACATCACTCTTATTGAAGAGAATCAGTCACCTGTCAGCTGTAGAGCTTTCCAAAATCATCAATTTAGTCACTGGAAACTGGCAAAAAATGCCGAGAGTTCTTTTTTCTACAACTTTGTTGCCTATTAAATTCAATGAATTTTATAATTTGATCATATTCTAAATTGTGTGTGCTTTCAGAAACCGTGAGAATGTACAAATAGTTTTAATAGTATTTATTATTTATAATTTGTTCATAGACTCCTTAACAAATCTTTGGAATTGCTATCATTTTTTTTCTGGAGTGCTTTTCTCTTAAGTATGACACACAAAATTGTTCAATTGTTATTCTGTCTCTTAATAGAAATTCTACATCTCAAGAATTCAACATTTACTCCCAACATTTAAGTAACTCCAGACTCTAATTCAAAAACCACTTTAAAATACTTCAAAATGCAACCTTAGATATGTTTGAACTCATTTTATATTTCTATAAATAAATATTAATTCCCATTTTATTATATTTCTTTTCCAGTATATTTACATGTATGGGTCTGTTACCCCTGTTTGGAGTCTGATTTTGATCTTTGTCAGGTTAATTTTACTGCATCTGCTTCTTGCCCAATATCCTCTTAGAGCCTCGGGCTGCTTCCTCCTCTGAATGTTTACCTTGCTGCTCATGTTTGGACAGTGCCTCTTTGTCCTCCTTTTCTTTATCCTTCTCTTTGGTTTTCGGTGATGGTTTCTGTACTTCTTTTACTTTTGCAGCTGTTTGCTTCATTTTCTCTGGTTTCCCACCTTTTGCTTCCTTTTTAGTCTTTTCATCAGTCTTTTCTTTAGACTTAGCCTTCTTTTCTTCTGTTTACAGTTAAGAAACATTAGATTATTACTTTTTAAACTTACCAACAGAATATTTCTTCTGTAATTGCTACTTAAACATAATCTTTAGAAGAAAGAGGAAAGGAAAAAAAAGGAACAGGAAACTGTAATTTTGACATAAATATTTGTGATTGTTATCAAAATTTAATGCAATGTATGAAGGGGTATCTTAAACTTATAGCTCATCTGCAAAATGCAACTCTTTTTTAATTTAAAATGCTATATTTTATGTAATCAAGAGAGACTAAGCTACATTTAAGATCAGAGATTTTTCTTCTGACAAAATCATTTTGGAAACAGCAAAACCAGTTTCTTGCTATGGAGTCCCTCAAAGGTATGTTATACTGAGACTCTCCAAGGAGGAAAATTATGCTATATATATTATCCAAAATTATTTTACCATAAATTTCTCATACAAATATTACCCACTCACTTCATAAGTTTCAAGATTCCAAACTCTTTGTGGGTTCTGTGACTATACTTGGGATTTTCTTCTACATTCTATGAACCATTTCTAAATATCCTTTGCTTGCTTTTTGCTTTTTCCTATAGCAAATTCATACATATCGTGACTGAGAAAAAAAAATCTGCTTTCTGTGGATGACTTGAATCAACACTGTTCTAGAAACCCACACTGAAATGTTTATTAGGGTCTGTCTGGAGCGAAATTTCCCCTGGTATGGCCAACAGCCAAATTTACACAACTCAAAAAAGCCCTTCCAGAGAATCTGTATTGGTCTGAGCTCATAGATATTTGATGAATCTTTACCAGCACAGTAATATTATTTTCTAAAGAAATATTTAATGCAGTGTTTAAAACCCTGAGATATTTGTTTTCATTGTTTGTCTTTTCATAGCTCCTCTCCAAAAGTTTCTTTTCTTCCACCATTCAACTTCAATTTTCTTGAATGCATTATGTTTTTTCCCATGCTAACATTGTCAAACTGCAGTGTATATTTTCCACATATTCTATATATCAAAATTTCACCACATTCAATTCACATGTAAAAAATTGGCTTTGATATTGAATTTAATCATTTCTTCCCCTGATATTTCATTGACCTGAATTTTTATTAAAGCATTTTATTTCCTATTGTGTATTTTGAATTACAGATGATTGTTCACTTATCTGTGTCCCTTACCACACTTATAAGCAACTTCAAATAGGAACTCCATTATTCAACTTTGTATCACCATTATGTCTAGTACAGTGCTTTTTTCAGAAAAAAAAAACCCAAAAACAGAATAAATGTATGCTTAACTGATGGAGTAAATATTTCATTATATTCAGGTCATATATATATATAACAGTGATAGATTAAATATGTAAATAGAAATGTTTAGAATAAATGTATTAAATCTTGGAAAACTTGTTAACTGATTTTTGGTTTATGCTTTGTTATGTGAAATTGTTATTTTTGGCTATTCTGTATGATATGTACCTGATCCTTTGTAGACTTACACAAATTTAAGATTGGCTTTACACTATACAATTAAAAATGTTAAATTTATATCTATTTGTAATTTCATAAAACTTTATACAGAGACAATTTTCTTAGAAACAGGATTATTATAATCATTGATTTTAAGTATACACATGGTAAAATTTTCCCTACCTATTTTAGAAATTTATCAGAGACTCTCATCTTTGAAATAGATAACTTTGTCTTCAATAGAAAAAATGAGAACTCCATAATGAGGTGAATATAATGAGAAAAATATTGTGAAACTAAAGCAATATCAAATTTCTACTTGTTTTGATCAAACGGAATCAATATTCTTAAATTTTATGACAAAGTACTTTCCCTCATTTTAACAAAAAGAATTTAAGAGACATTCATTCAGGATTGATAAAGCAAATATATATATATATATATATATATATATATATATATATATATATATATATATAATTTATGTGTGTGTGTGTGTATCCATGTTGTATTTAAATAACCTCATTTTAGTTAGGTAGATAATTAATTCATGACATTTGTCAAATACAAAACAAAATAGTTTAATCAAAAGAATGACATCTGCATATTTGATATAATTTTGCATGTAGCATTGCCCATTTATAATTTTATAAGAATAAAATGTCTGTCTCATGCCAAAGTAGAGAAATATGTTATCTAATAAACATACTATGGTTCTACCTATTTTTTGGAGTTAGAAAATACCTAATTCCATCTCTCATTCATTAAGTAACTACAAATTGCTTGACTTCTCTATGCCTCAGTTTTCCTGCATTTAAAATAAATCATCATTGTAGCTGCCTGTTCCTCTAATAATGCTGTGGAAACAAGCAAGATAATGAACAACAATAACACAACAACAAAAATTGAACACTGCAAAATAAGTACATAAATTCCTAATGTTGAAAATACATATGTTACATTATTAGAGCTCTTTGAAACTTCCTTTTAATTTACCCAGAATTTAATATATAAAGGAGGTACTACATTGTACTAATTCTACATATGAGAAATCCAAGAAACAAAAGCCATTTGGTAAAGATGGTACAACCAAATGAGTCAGGAAAAATAGCAGTAAAACCAGAATGTCTAACCAATTTCCTAAGAACACTAACTGGCATAAAGTTATAAATATTATCCTGTGAAAATGATACAAAAATATATCTTAAGACATATGGGAGCAGATATAAATATACACAGACCCAGCTAAAGTAATACAGTCTTCCTGAACATGGTCACAACAGCAGTAGCCTCCCCCACTTCATCAAACACAGACATCTTAAGACCTGCTATTTCCAGGCCAGTTAAAATAGTCTGTTTCAAACTTGGCTCATTCATTCACCTTCTGATTCCATCATTGTCTTCTTCGTCTTTCCTCTTTATAATTTTTAATGAACTACAGGTGTAGGCTAGTTCTGATACAGGACCCTACATCTGTTCCAGGGTAGACAATGAAATACCCACTGTGAAAGTTCTGAGGTGGGCTATTTAGTTGCTGTCCTTGGACAGACTGTGGTTGAAACAGAGCTAGAAATACTGTGTTCAATAAAAGTGCCTCTGGGAATAAAAGCTCTTTCTAAGGAGACTCACTTTCAAGTTTATATTTATGTCTGATTTAAATGTTACATACTACAGTTTAGACCTATTAAATACTATTCTCTTTTCCTAGATATCACAATACCTACAAAGAACATTTCCTATATGTTTCCTGTTCCTAAAACAACATAGACATATAAAATGAAAATAAATTTTTGTGTGCATGTGTGTATATGTGTGTGTGTGTGTGTGTGTGTGTTTTATAGTTTGCATCTATCTTCTCCAGAAGAATGTATGTAAATTGAAAGCATTTGTAGCAGGCTGACTCAGGATGGTGCCCAAAGATTCCTGCCTTTTGTACCCTTGCATAGTCTGCTCCCTGTGAATACAATTTGACCTAGAAATATGCTAACCAATAGTACACTGCCAAAGTGGATGAATGAGACTTGCATGATTAGTCAACATGAAATTGTGATATCTTCATGCAGATTCTTTCTCTTGCTAGGTCTAATGAAGTCAGCTATCATATCACTCATACTCCTGCAACAAGGAATTAAGGGTACCTCTGGCCAACAAGCAGCAAAAAGCTGAGGCCTTCATTCAAATAGCTATGAGAACTGAATTTGCCAATGCCCTATAAATGAACTTGGAAATGATCTTTGTCCAAGTGAACTTTCAAATGATACTTCAGCCCTGGTTTATAACTTGTTTTTAGTTTTGAACAGATTGTGAAGGAAAGTACTGAACTAGTCCATGCCCAGGTATTGGACCCACAGCCTCAACGTTTGTGGTCATGTTTTACACAACAATAAATAACAAATACAGCATTCAACACATACTTATTGAAAAGATTTATTTAATTATCTTTGGAAAGAATACTTGATTTACCTGTAGGTCACCTGGGTTTCTGACTTAATCCAATTATATACTAGCAATATGACCTGACCAAATTGTTTTGTCTTTCTAGGGGTTAATTATTTTTTCATCTATTAAACTCAGTAATTAATTTGGAAAATCACTAAAATCTCTACTAGCATTTATATTTCACACACACACACACACACACACACACATATATGTAATTCATTTTCACTCACATCTGTGGAAGAGAGCCAAATAAAATTAAAATGTATTTACTTAGCTATAAATTTAATATAGAGACTAAATTCATGCTACTTTTTTAAAAAGCAGTCTCATTTTATAACCCATACATTTTAGCTTCAATAAAATATCAGCTTAGCTTACAGAAAATAATTATTTTAAAATATATTTCCCCTAAATGGTCTAATATTTAAAATTTTTGAATTAACAAACTGAATGTTGAAAATAGATTCTTTCTCCTAAATGATTAGATTCTTGAACATAATAGATTATAATTTCTAAAATATACTGATTACAACTTTTATTTTAAATACAAGGAAGACAATTAAATTTAAGGGATAAGGTTTAACTTCCAGTTCATATTTATATTTTTCTAACACAAAATAATTGGTAACTAAATTTAGAATAGATCAGTTTACTCAAAAAATCAGTATTCAGTTGTGGAAATAATAATATTATAGCGATATTCTAATTGATTTGTAGGGGTATATTATCAAGATACTTTTAGTGTTCAAAGTCTTAACATAATAATGAAGTTATGTGCATAAAAAAATGAAACTCTGAGTTTGAATTTCCTGAAATCGATCACAAGATGTAATACTTGTCAAAAACTACAAACCAGGTGTTATTTTCTTATTGCCAAAGTAACAAATTATCACAAACAGTTGCTTAAAACAATACACATTTATTATACCGGAGTTTACATGATTTTAAAATGTTGGCTCACTATGGCTCAATTGGGTTCCTTGTTTATGGTTCACAAGTCTAAAATTGGTTCACAAGTCTAAAATCAAACTATCAACAGAGTCGTTTCTTAGTCTCTGGGAAAGAACATTTCTTACGTTTTCCATGTGGCTAAGGAGGGCAAGTCCTCACACTTCAAATCTCTCTGCTTCTGTTGCTAAATCTCTCTGCATCTGAATACTTTGCAATAGCATTTTGAGCCCACCTGTATAATCCAGGATAATCTCCCTGTTTCAGATCAAACTTCCCTACTCCTGCAAAATTCAGTTGGCCATGTCATGTAACATCTTGATGGGAATGACACCAAAGGGGAAAAGTCATGGAACAAAATTCTCCCAATCAAGTATGATGAAGCTCTTCATTTTCCTCTCCTATTTAAGATGATCATTTATCACAGTCAGTTTTTTATTATTCTTTAGATAGTAAATTTTAAATATAAGGTTCATACTTATGTAAATGCAAATGAAATTCTGAATGGTAACAAACATCTGATTCTCTATTGCCTAAAATATAATCTTTTAAAGTAAAAAGTAGTCAGTTGTGGAAATAATAAAGGAAATTTTACCTTTTGCTCCTGCCTTTGTCTCTGGCTTTTCTTTCTTCTCAGTTTTTTCCTTGTGAGTTGCTTAAATAGAAAAATTTTACATTAGTATATACTTTAATAGATTTCAAAACCAAGTTTTTCCTTGCCCTTCATTTTGTAACCATCAAAATCATGGACTGCTTTGAAGATTTATGACATTGATGAATCTAATTCAGGAAAAAAGTTACAAGTGTAATAATAACTTCATAGAATTCAATGTAAAACTTAACATTGATTTAGAAAGCATTTTGAAACCTAGATCCTCCCTTCCTTTTTTAAGTCATTATTCCTAGAAGATAAAGCTTTCAGGGAAGGAAAAAAAAAAAAGAAGGAGCAATTTTATAGGGATTTGTTGAAAAACGTATCTCATGTCAGGAATAAAAACTCTATTTAGGATTAATAGCAAGAAGTATTTAAATCAGGACTAAAGATGTGATTAAGCTCAGTGTTTTCTCAACAGGGGCACAACTGACATTTGGGAAGAACAATTCCTCACAGTAGGAGACTGTCTTATGCTTTGAAAAAAAAAAATGTTTAGCCTCTCTGGTACCTGCTTCCCAAATGCCCTCCAGTCCAATGTCATTTTGACAACAAAAGTTTTCCAAATATTCCCTAGAGGGGAAAACTTTAGTTGAGAACCAACAGTAGTATGAAGAGTAATTCAAAAAAGGATTATTGATAAAGTATATTAATTGATCATTATTCCACATGATACCTGAGATATTTTCTCCTTACTTATTTAGCTAATTAACAAATCAATATAAATGTGTTTTAACTTGGCTTTTTATTTAGATACACTGATGAAATCTTGTGTATCTCAATAGTTTAAGTAAAGGTTATCTGAGAAGTACAATAGCATGTTTAGCATATTTTTTATAGTTCAAATATATTAAACTGAGTGTTTTGTTGTTTGCTCTAAATATTATATAGTTCTCAGAATTTATACACTGTTTTCTGAAGTATAAAAATAGGACTTAGGTAAATTCTAAAATATTAAGAGACAAAATACAAGATTTAATTAAACAGCTGGTTTAAGGAAGAAGTCAAATTAAAGCCTCAAACATTTCTCCATCTATATAAGAACAGTAATATACATCAGCTTTACTTAAAAAAAAAAATGGAGGTGGGGCTTAATAGGAGGTGTTTGGGTCATGGGCGGTCCAGTCTCAGGAACAGATTAAGCTGTTCTCATTAGAGTGAGTGAGTTCTTACTTAAGAGAATGAGTTGTTAGAGAGTTTGACTTTCTTGACTCTCTCCTTGCCTTCCACAATGTGATAATATATCAGGAAGGGCTTCACCACAAGCTTTTTATTTGAATTGAGCCCAGGAGACCTTTACCACTGAATTACATCCCAGTCCTTTCTATTTTATTTTATTTTCAGACAAGGTATCACTAAATTGATTAGGCCCTTGCTAAATTACTTAGGCTGATCTCAAACTTCTGATTCTTCTGCATTAGCCTCCAAAGTTACAGGGGTTACAGCCTTATACCACCATACCCAGCCCAATCTGTAGTATATTTTATAGCAGCAGAAAACAGACTAAGATTCCCTCTATTAATAGTTATCCCCAAATCTTAGAGAAACCATGCTAGCCTTATAGAAAGTTTAAAGCACTGTCCAGTTGATGACCAAGTGACCCTGACAGAATACACAGCTCCTGAAAGAGCAGGGGCCTTCTCCAGGGATTCAGCGTGCCCAATAGCCACCTAGGCTACATTTGGGGTTATGGGTTCCAGAGTGGACAATGTTAGCAAAAGGAACACTATGATAGGATGCACAGGGTATAATCCACGCAAGATCAAGGTTTACATTAGAATATCTCATAAAACACAAATACCAAGGTGGGCATGGTGGCAAGTACCTGTAATCCCAGTGGCTCAGGAGGCTGAGGTAGGAGTATCCCAAGTTCAAAGCCCGCCTCACCAATGGCAAGGCACTTAGCAACTCAGTGAGACCCTGTCTCTAAATAAAATACAAACTAGAGCTGTGGTGTGGCTTAGTGGTTGAATGCCCCTGAGTTCAATACCTGGCACCAAAAAAAAAAAAAAAAAAAAAAAAAAACAGAAACACAAATATCCATTTAAAGGGATACAATAAATAAAAGAATACAACACAACATTTTATTTATTTTCAATTTAGATACATTTCATATAATATTTATAATTTAAATGTCAAAAATCTTCATTATTTTAACAACAACAAAAAAATTTAGCTACTGTGAAGGTTGAAAAAAAACACATAAGAAATACCAGTTTATTTCATTTAGCCAGAGTACATAAAGTCTGGTGCTCATAATTCTGTGTAACTCACCAGTAGATAAGAAATTGACATCTGTTTCGAGAACAGAGAAAGAAGATGGCTATATTGAAATTGATGGAAATTATCACTAAGTAAACATTAATAAAAGGATAAATATTGAATTCAAATATTCAAGTATACACATACAATGAGTAATATTGAAGCATGTTTCAATGGATATTATTTAAATGTCGTAAGTATTCTCCCATATTCCACCTAAATGGAATGGTTCGAAACACAAGAAAACTAAGCAGGATATGCATACTGTGGATACATAAATGAGCTGAAATATCCTAGACATGATCCTATTTAAAACAAAAACAAAAATAAATTAGAATCTTACTTCATATTGCACATTCGAATGGAATTTTAATGAATTCAAGTCAAATGTAAAATATGGAACATTCTTTAAATCTAAGGAAAATAGTAGTTATCAAATTAATCTATTTTATTTTTTTTAGTTGTTGCTAGACCTTTTTTTTTTTTTAATTTATATGCAGTTCTGAGGATCAAACCAAATGCCAAGCAAGTGTACTACCACTGAGCCACAGCCCCTGTCCCTCAAATTAATCTTTGATGAAGGTTCAAAAGCAGAAAAAACACAAGAAAATATCAACATATCTAGTGGCATGAAAGTCCAGCAATCTAAATACACACACTAATACATTCAATATGTATGTTCTCATGGATAGAAAACCTAAGATTGACTGCAAAACTAGCAGAAACATATTTGAAAAAAGTTATGAACTAAGAGATCTATATGCCAAAATCACACCACTAGGAAAAGTGGGCAATGATTGTGAACATTTACAAAAGGAAATATACACCACTAAAAGTTATATTTAAATTATTCAGCCTATTAGTAGCAATCAGCCCTAAGAGAGGGTGGAAGACAACATTGGCATTTAAATACTATGTGGGTTTTTAAAAAAGAATAGGGCAAATATTTATTTATGGGTCTGAAAAAATTTCTAGGATATATTTTTAAAAGTCATAACATAGGATATGTCAGATTTTGTATAGAAACAGGGAGAAGCAATAATATATATTATTAATAATATACTAGTAAAATATTATAGTACTATTATTATAGTATTATACCATATATTTATATAATCACATTATAAATTACACATTTTATGTACTAAAGCTGTAAAAGGCTTAAACTCACACATGTAGTTTATGGTGAGAACTTGGGGTGGGATGGAATGGGAAGTGGGATGGCAGGGGTGAGGGAAGGTTTTCACAGAGCAAGTTTATGTGCCAAGCAGACATGTTGTGCGGATTATCTATTCTAAATAAATAAATAAAAACTAACAAAAAAAGTACAGTCTAATAGTAATAAAAATATATTAATATCATTAAAATATAGGATCTACTGTCTTATCTATAAAATTGATAAGTATTTTCTGGGAAAATATTCTCACTGCTGGCTAATGCAGCTTAAAAACTGCTGGCTGGGGTTGGGGGGTTTGACATGGCATTTCTGAAACGTCAAGTGGTATGGGGAATTGAAGAGCATTAGGGACTTAGTCCCTTTCAATCCAGAAATTCATCCCTTCAGAATCTGTTCCAAGGAAATAATCATAATATAAATTGAAAAAGAAGAAATGCAAGGTCAGCTAAAATTTGAATGTAAGAAAGGGAATTCAAAATAAAAAGGTTTAATGTTAACAACAGCAAAAAAGAATGTCTGCATACCTTTCTTTTCAGGTTTTTCCTTTTCTTTTGTTTTTTCTTTGTCTTTTTCCTTTTCTCTGTGTGTGACTAGAAAGGAATAGATAAAACTTTATTTAAATACAAGGAATAAATGATAAGATAATTGCATGACAGTTTTGATGTCAAAAACTTTTCTGCTGCTTTTAGAGATTTTCCTTTAACTGACATGAAGGTTTTACATATTTGGAGGTTTAAGCTTCAACATAATTATAGATTTGCTTTCTATTTCTATTTTTATTTCACATCTAACCACAAACCAGAACCAAAAGTAGGTCTCACGGCAAAGATAAGCTATGCTTCAACTTCTCCAAGTCTTTAATTTCATGATTAGAAAATTAAAAATCATTGTAACTCCAAAAGAATAACAATTCTTGTATTGATATTAAATAAATGCCAGAAATCTGAGTACAAAATAGAGAGAAATAGTCTTCTGAACCTGAAACTAAGTAGAATCAACCCAAATTATATGTGTTAATCTACAGCAATATTCTAGATTAAAATTTTTGAAAACACACTAGAATGAGATTAAAATGTGAATAAATCTTTAAAAAAACAAAACTTAATCCAATGAGCTATAATCCAATTAATTATTACATCATTTGAATTTAAGTCATAATCTCACCCCACACTTTAGTCATAATTTGTATCAATTATCCAAACTAGAAGCATGGGATTCAACTCAGATTTCTCTCTCTCTCTCTCTCTCTCTCTCTCTCTCTCTCTCTCTCTCTCTCTCTCTTATTTTCCTCTTCTGTTCATGAACTAAGCTGTTTCCATCTTAGCTTTTTCATATTTCTCTCATTCAACTTCTTTTATTTAATATTATGTTACCTACCAATTGCATATTTACACAAATATAAGGATAGCACACCTGCAATGAACTAAAACTCTGCTAAGCAAGATAAATACCATCCCTGTCATTGGGATGTCAACCAGCTAATGGTTGATGGATGCTGAACAAATAATTACAAAGGTAGTTAATTGCAGTTAGTGTAATTGCTATGAAGAAACAGGCGGGATGGCACATCAATGTATAAATTAGGACCTAATCTCATCTACGTGTTTGGAGAAGGTCCCCTGGTAGGAGTGAAAAGGAGAATAAATTAGGTTTGTCAGGGAGTGGGAAAGACAAAGGGGAAAGAGGCCCTTTCGGAAAATTAAACAAGATGTTTTTCTTGGCCATGCTATTATTGAAACTTTTATTACAATATCCTGACTAGTCTCTTGAATCTTGAGATTTATTTTATCCCATCTCACAGTGATTCTTGCAACCAAAGTCTGATTATATCATTCACCTGTTGTGTAAATTAGTGTCCCCCTCATTGCTTAGCCTGGCATCTGTCTCTGAGTAGGTGTTACAACAAATATAAAAATATTTTATTGCTATAGGGATCTGACATTTGCTTACCAATCCAATCTCATCTACCAGGAATTTCTCCTTGAACTTTACATTCCAGTTATAACAGAACGCTTGTAGCTCCACAGCACACCATGTGTCCTTGTGCTGCCTTTTCATCTCTGCTTGTTTGTGCTTTCCACCTCCAGTTCCCACACCCACATTTCTTCATTTTTCTTCCCCTGTTTCATGCCATCTTTCAATCCTGGATCAAATGGCTCTTGCACTGTAAAATTTCTTTGATGTATACTTACTCTATACATCAGTTACCAAATATATGTAATTCTATTTTAGCAACAACAACAACAACAAAAAAAAAAACACATTGTAATTATAGTCATATGCCTGACTACCCAGTAGATGAAATATTTAAGGTCTGCATCACATTATTTTACTTTGTCATTACTGATTCATCTTGTAATGTCTGTCATACAGTGGATTCTCAATAGTATTTTTGAGTAAGTGAGATTCTAATATATAAGAAGAACTAGTTTCCTTTTCTAGTGAAATTCTGTTTATAGATCATCATGTGGTGGTATAGATATAATTAGGCACTGCTTGCTTCCAATGATTTGAATTTTTTTTATAGTTTATTAAAATTTCTCAAATAAAACCCAGAAAGAAACAGCAAGGGGGAAAAACACCTCAGAACATATAGACATTTTTCTTTTAATTTTTAAATGGTTATTTTAGGTGTTTCAGAGCTAATAAATTCAATATAACTATCTCACAAAATAAAAAGGGGAAATGAGCATTTACATAGACCACAGTAGCTTATTTTGGTTTCTGTGGATCACTATTAATTAAGCTAAAAAAAAAAAAATTCTTGTCAAAAACAAAGCCTCTTTTAAAGTTTCTCTAGGGGGAACCGAGTTTGTGTGAGATAAGCCATTCTTTCAGAGCCCTGATTGGAAAGAGCCTCAAGGGAGCACCTAATCTACAGCTCTGCCTCTGTAAAGGATGGGGCTCACCTTCCTCAGACAGCTGGTTGTCCATTCCACTAAAGGATTTTCAGATTGACGTGTGCACAGGCATAAATGGGAGAATTAATACAAAATCAAAAGAGCAAGGGGGCTGAATTCAGACTCAAATTAGCATATTAACTCCTCATTCCTGTTACCCAGGGGAAAAATCTGGTTCCTCCAGTCAAAG